CACACACATTGTTCTCTGCCATCCTCGGGATCACAAGAACATTCCTACTGCCATGGATTGTTACAGTGGCACATCCATGTACCTTAGGTAACAACCACAAAAGGAACTTGAGTGCTAAAACCAATTCATTACAAGCATCCATCAGATATAAGATCATAGAAAGCTCCTCTTCACCAAGTTTCCATTGAATAGAACCTTGTTCATCGCCAGTAGCAAATGATCTCCCATACTGGCCAACCTTGGCCAGATTCTTCTCAGTTTCTTCAACAAGCTTCTTTACAACCCCTATTAACCACAAGGTCATTGTTCTTTTTTTCACAGCTTTCTCCTTCTTTAGTAGCTTTCCAATGGAAACAATGTCGGCAAATCGTTGAGTTTTAGTTCCATCCACTGCCCTTGGGTGATCACCTTCAGAGCCAGACCTATGATGTGGACAGCTCACTCTACTATCACAAACATGACTTGTTGATGCTCCCTGACTACCTTCAATCCTGGCAGCAGCAAGCTGTGCAAGACTTTGAGTTTTTCGGACAACCTTTTGCCGACCCCGTGTGGATTGTTTGGTTGGCTTAGGAGGTGGTGGATCTACTTTAAAAGATTCCACGGGCTTTTGGCACCTCCCTACCCACCAACTCTCTTCATCATCTGATTGATTCTGTGGGTAAATTTTAATTGAGCTATTATCCTCACTCAACTTTTGTCTCTTTGCTTTTCTACACTCTTCACATCCTGGTGTTGCTTCAATTATATCCATAGTGTTGGGGGAAGCCACACTATGCTTCTTAACTTTTTTTTGAGCCTGAAGAAGGCCTGCTTCAGTTAATATCGAACAAGGAAATTGCAACACCATGCAAACTGAAAATTTTAGGTCTTCAACTTCAACTGTGTGCATATTTTTGGGTAAAGCATTTTGTGCTAACGGAACAGATCTGCACTCTACAAATGGTGGAGAAGCATTTTCACCTCCTGAGTCAAGATGTTTACGTTTCATGTGTGAACTACTAGCTCCACTGGGGCTTTTATAGCGGTCAAGCACCCCATGAAGCACCAAACGCCTTTCAGTTGAGTATACATTCATCAGCTCTGAAAGTATCTGTGGTTCAGCAATTTGGGCCTCTACAAGAGCATCATAGACTTGAGGACCAGACAGCTGTTTCAAGATTCTACAATGTCTTTTTCTGTTAATTGGATCAACATGAGGTACATTCTCATCCATGACACCGCTAATAATCAGCTGCCTAACATAAGCTTGGGGATAAAAGAGTCCAGCCCTGATAAGTTCTGCAATAAGTAATTGAAGGCGCTTCAAGCCTTCTCCATTATGAACTTCATGTTGATCTATCCAACAAACAATAACATCATGCAAAGGGCTTGGACTATCAAACAAACGTATAAAATCCTTGCTTTTACCAGCCCTGCTCTTTGTGCTGTGAAAAGATTCACCGACACCATTACCAACACTTCTGCGAATGTTATTCTGCTGGCCTAGATCCTTTCCAACATTCTCTATTTTTACATTGCTTTCATTCTTGAACTGGCTTGAAATTTGCACTTCTCTCATCTTTAGCTTGAGAAGTCGTACTGCAATGTAAATTTGAGAGAAATCCTTTCTACCAGTGAATTTTAATTCATGCGACGGGCTAGAGCGGAAGTCTCTGAAATCACATGTTGCCCATTCAAAAATGAAAAAAACAGAACAGATAAATGAGAGATTCACTTCCCCAATATGTTTAAGGGAGGAAAACAAACAAGAACTGGTTTCTGCTATCCAGCTTTCATCCACAATGCCATCACAATGATTTTCAAAGAGGAACTTATATGGTATTCGCAAATCCCCATTTACGAGGGATTTATCCAATGCGTGTAAAGCTTTGGCAACATTTTGACCTGGATAGTCAGGCCTTGCCGCTTCTGCAAGACTATCTGCACGTTTCTTAATTGAAGATACTACAAGGTCAATGGATACGGACTCAGAACGAGTCTCAGGAACCCTGTCTCTAAGTACTCCAGCAACTTCAAGAGGACCCACTTTCACCCTTTTGACATCCTCAGACACCTTAGAGAAGAAACCTCCATCAGTAAATGTATTTGCCACACAAGGGGGCAAAGGAAAACAGTCTAGACCAACAAATGTGTCAGGCACAGCAAGTAACAAATACCGAAGCAACTCAATAAGTGCAGACATAGTATATGCCCGGCGTGAATTGTCAACCAGATCGGATCCACCAGGGGAAGGTTCTTGGATGAAATGAATAGCAATTTGCACCATTGCACGCACATAGGTTTGGGATAAGACAACAGTTTCAATAAACCCATATATAACAGGTAGTAACAACTGCAAAAGCCCAAGCAACTCTTTCTCCTGGAGGCATAAGATGGAAAATATGAAAATCGGTAGATAGCTCACGGCAGCCAATCAATTTAGGACTAAGTTGAAAAGAGCTCAAATTAACTGGAACCTGTAGTTGGGTGAGAACCCAGTCAATAACATGAGAAGGAAAAAGTAATCCTTCAGCATGGTGCCATTGTAGAATACGCACAACATACCACCACTTAAAATGTAGTGAAGGCTCCCCAAGATCAGAACTTGAAGCAACTGGCTCATTTTTTAGCTGGATTGATCCTGGATAAACCATTTGTGGTGACCGATCTCTGATATTTGCAGCAGAATGGCCAGTATTTCTTGAAACAAATTCATCCAAGAGACACTGCATATAATCAATGACATCTTTTGTCCATTGCTCTGAACGGGAAAAGTTTGTTTTGTCAGGCACACCCGTTGATAAACTGGAGAATACTGGACGAACCTACAGAAAAGTAATGCATTATCTGCAACTCTCTCAGACAAGGGTAACAAATGCATATGCAAGAACTAATGTAGTTCACTCGCTAAACAAGTAGATATTACCTGATTAAGATATGTCACTTTTATAAACCATGTTGCCCGTAGCAATGGAACATTATTCCTGATAAGAACTTCAAAAAGCCATCTTTTCCGGTAACCATGAGGTACCTGATCTGCCAAAGACCGCAGTCTTTTGTGTTGTGAGGCTAACCCCTGGAAAGATGATCAAAAGATTAGTGATGCAAGCAAGGAAAACTCATATCAACCTTTATGGAATTCCTAAACATTGTTAGAAACTAACCTCAATCCACCTCTTTCTGAAATCTTCTCCACATGACCTTTGGTCAGGGAAGATACCAACCTTGGTCAACTGTGAACCCTCAAGAGGCACTCCGTACACTTGGCCCGCCTGCATTAGATCAAAATGATGATTCACATTGAACATATCTTTGAGTTGTCTACAGAATACTCCCTCCCTCCACAAATCAAAGTCACTCTTTGACTTCAAGGAGTTAAAGAAGGATGTTAAAAAGTAAATCGTGGGTGGTTAGAATTTAATTGGAAAAGAGAGACATGTAGTGAGCCACATATTTATTACCTTAAAAGGTAAAAGTAGAAGTGTAACTTTAATTTTTGGGATGGCAAGAATAGAAAGTGTGACTATCTTAGGGACGGAAGGAGACGGGGAGTACATATTACCATTACTTAAACCATGCTTCCAATGGGAAAAATATCCCATCAATCCTAAAAATACTTCCCATGTTGACTTGGCATGGTTATTAAGAAAAGTGGAATTGTGTTGCTAGATGATTTAGAAGTCATAAAATATATGAACACGCAAATGTTTCCTTCAAAGGAAATGAGAAGTGAATTTTAGGACATGAAAAAAGAGATGTGAGAAAAAGTTCAGTGAGCATTGTTTTGCAGAGAAATTAAAAAATCAAAAGCAGAGGAGATATATTCCACACTTCTTAATTTACCAAACTATTAAAATCTGTTAGGGAAACAATAGGAGTTCATGCTGATGAGGCCAAATTGCCAAAACCTAAAATCATACAGTAAATAACAGTGGTAAAACTTCTTACCTTCCGTTTTTTAGCCCGAGACTCATTGATGGTCCTATGGCACTTTCTGATTGCCTGGAAATGACATAAAATTGAAAGCAGTTTCAATTTTCAAAGCAAAGGTACTATCTGGCTAACCCACTCCGCCATACTATCTTCCAAAGAAACTACCTCTTTGCATTTAAGTATGACAGGCTTCGAAAAAACCTGAGCCTGTGATAGTGAGCTTTCGCGTGCTTCCTAATAATGTCAAAAGTAAGTTGCAGTATTTAATACACATCACAGGAGGAAACATAAGACGCAGGTAACCCCATTTACACAAACTGAGCTATAATGTCCTCATTCCTGAAAAATACCTCAATCCCTTCAACTGCCTCCCGATAACCAAATTGCACATATTCTCGGTTGAGTGTTTCTTCGGGGCAATTAGGTGTCGGTGGAAGAAAGTCAGGTGGTCCAAGTCTGAAAGCATTTATAGACCAAATTAAATTCAAATCACATGTCATAATAAGTCTGAGCAAATGAGAACATGGAGAACACTAAATAACTAGGTGAAATTTGCACTAAATGGTACTAAAACATAAGTCATTTCCCAAAGTAGGACTTAAACATTGTTATTCCCTAAATAGTACTTAATAATGTCGAGTGGGAGGAATAATGTCTCATTGATGGTGGATATTTATTTGAATAATGACTAATGGATAATGACCAATGGTCCTACATTGGAAAATAAAAACATATGGTCCTACATTGGAAAATAAAAACATATGGTCCTATATTGAGAAAGTCATTATGTTTTAGTCCTATTTGTATAGATTCCCCAATAACTAAATGGTGGGCGGGGGCATTTGATTTGAATTGTCTGTTAGTCCATAATTTATTAGAACATCGTATTTCCAAGGTTGCAGGTACAGTTACACCAAGACCAGAAAATCTGTGTTGACATCATTTAGGCACATGAAATACAGAGAATACATTGAATGGTGATGAAAAATGCACGCTCCAATGAATAACAAGTGATTCATACTAAAAGAACTAAAAACGAAGAACATAAAGAAAATACTGAATTTTGCATCCACAGAACGTGCCTGGAATTTAGTGGTTCTTTATTGCACTTCAATTTGAACGCTGTCAGTTGCAATGCTCGCCTGCATTAAAAAGATGACCATATCCTTCAGTAAAGGGAAATTCATTGGAAAATGAAACAGTTCTGCACAACAAACATTTCTAAAGGCAACAGCCGACAGTAATATATTCCTTTATCTCTTCATACACGGAATAAAGAGTGCCAAAATAAATTGCATGAAATTTCGCGCTGTGTATGCAAAGCTAACAGAAATTTAAAAAAACAATCAACTACTGATCACATGAAAGAATAAAGGGTTGACAGTTCTGGAAAAAGCATATCCCTTGTTCAAACAGATACATGAAATAATAAGAAATCAAGGAAATGTGTGAATAATATACCAAACCTGGAGAAGTTAGGTGCTAATGTATTAGCTTCAGCTCTGGAGATATCCCTTCCAGCTGCTCCACCAAACGTGCTATTACTATTTACTGCACCAGCGCAGCTGTTAGCATGATACCTTTGCATCTCTCCGAACTACTATCTGCATGCTGCCACCAGCATCAGAGCACCAAAGAAAAGTGTGCAAGTCAAGCTGCATCAATAAGCACAAAGATTGAGTTTCAAGAACCCTAAACATAATAAAAACAATAATAAAAATAACATCAAAAGTGATTCTTCAAATTGTGTTTTGGAAACTACAACACACTTAAGCAGCTACTCCAACACTTGAAAGCTAAATATCAAACTGGGGCTTAACGCTTAATTCCAAACCGCAATTAATTTCTCCAGACCAATTGCAATTCCTATCATCTTGAAAACATTCAATTACTTTCGAATTCATTCCAAGAAATTAGGGTTAGACATAACCTGGAAATCTGGAATTGCACAATTCAAGCTTGTGAGTCGTTATTCTCCGTCTTTCTCCGGTCTTCTTCACTCCGTCTTTCGCCGGTCTTCGAATCCGACGTTCTCAAAATCGCAGGGAACTGAAAGACGGGTCTTGAAGCTCTGGTCTCTACAGCAACCGATCGATCTATCTGACACGAAGGAGTATACCTGCGTATCGGACCATTGGCTCAGTAGTTTAGGAATATTTTACAACTAGAAACGATGTCGTTTTATTTTTTTTAAAAAAATATTTTGAATAAATGACATCATTTTAATATATAAACTATGTCATTTAAAATTTTAAAACAAAATTACTTATAACCAAAAAAAATTTGCATATAGACTTGTGCTAATCATCAAAACAAATTAAATAAGTATATATTCTTATTTTTAGTGATAATTATAAGTCAAAATACAATAACCAATGAACAATTTTATACAAGTAGAATCAAGTATTTCAATTAAAGGTGAAAAATATACAAAAAAATAATTGCTTCGTAACATGGAATGTTATGATTTCAATGAGTTAGCGACCACAAAATGACAAACCCAAATATACGGAGTATATATATGTGAATTTTTAAGTAACAAAAACATGTTAACAATATTTCTTAACTTTGTCAAGCCTTCGATCAAAAATGTTGGACACTAATCACCTTCCGTTTTTTTTCTCTTTTTTCACACATCTCTAATTGCAAAAGGTTAAACCCTCCTTTCTTTTAATTCGCCATTAAAAAACAAATTGTGTAATTGCAAAAGTGAGAGATACTCCGTAAGTAAATATAAAACGTAATCTTCTTAAAAAAATCCGGGACGGTTCCGGTACCGCCACCCCATGTCACCGGAACCGTCACCGTGCCGGCCGGTACCGGTTCCCGGACCGGCGGTTCCGGTACCGGACCGGCCGGTTTCGCCCCCCCCCCCCTATTTTTTTTTTGTTTTTTTTAAAATTTTTAAAGTATAAAATTGTAAATTTGCAATTGTTTAAGGAAAGAATGAAATAAAAAATCTAAAAATGTAGTTGTTATTTAAATATTTTAAATGAATAATACACTAACTGAAGAACAACCACATTTAATATCCTGACGGTTCAAAAAAAGCGACGAGGTAAAGAACCGTAAAGAAACCCTCGAAGGAGCTTATATATCGCTCACCTAAAAAAACTAATTACATATCTACATTAACATAAAAAAATTGTAACTTATTCTTCAGAACTCGGGCTTCCATATGTTGTTGCATTCATGTAATGCTCCGATTCGAATAGGTACGATGACTCTTGAGCTCGACGTCTTGCCAAGAGCCAATCTTGGTTGCAAACCAGTGTTTCAAGAGATTCAACGCTAAGACAACTTCGAAAGTCGGTTAGAATGTTGCCGCTAGCACTGAATTCTCGTTCAACTGCTACGGTTGATACCGGA